ATTTATGACTGACTAGGAAAAAGATTAATCCCTGCCGTTTCGTTCTGTAGAAAAAACATTATCAGTAACACCACCCGCACAGCTAATATCATTATTACTTTTAAAAAAATGAGTTTGAATAATTTTTGATAAAAATATTTTAAAAATACAGAGTTTGGGATAAATAGTCTCCTGAATGTCTATTTTCAAGAGAATTATTAATATAGGACTGCTTTATTTGATTTAAACCTCTTTCCAAAACCAATTGTCGTTTCATAATATAGAACACACGGCTACGAAACGGCGTCTCAGAAACAGTGAATACGAAACGGTAACTGTGAATACGCAACTAGGAACACTGATTTAAAACTAAAAATCTGCATTCTTTTCCTGTTTTTATAGATACTAATTTATATGATACAAGATGATAAATCACGCGAGAAACTCCTCTCTTAATGGTATGACCAAATCACTCATGTCGAGATAAAACATAAAATAATAAAATTGGAACTAATAATAATAAATTTATATTCAGAAAAGAAAAAAAATCTGTTTTTAAGTCAAGACTATAATTTCCCTTCCTCGTAGTTAACAACTAGTAACTTCTAAAGTATAACTTCAGGCAAACGTGCCTGATTAGAAACGCTTACCTTTAGGGGATTAATATCATGCGTTTAAGTTTCATTCCATTTTTTTATTTTTATTTTTTTCTTATTTTAAGAAAATCGACTTTAAAATTAAACAAAACAAAACCTTCATCAGTTGACAGAAATTTGCTTGCCGGTTGCCGAAAGCGTCAGTTCTCAAAGTAATTACTAAACCCGTACGAAATCGAACATTATTGTCAATGTAGCTGTGTTATTTGTAAGAAAGAATGGAGAAAATTCTTATATAAAAATAGTACGTATTCAATACAACAAACAATAAACTTATATGAATCAGAGTTCTTGACAGTATGCATTATGGGAAAAAATGGTCCAAATGTTTCGGGTTGCACTATGAAAAACAAATCCACGTATTAAGAGATTAGTTGCCAAAAGATATATCTAACTTTTACATTTTTATAAATTTATTCTTAATTAATGTTCCAACTTGAAATTGTTTCTTCTTTTATATGCCGTGTCCCTTCAGGATGAAGGCGATCATGGCCCTCCACTTCCTCCGGTCTCTTGTAGCTCTTAATAAGTTTTGTCTTTTTGTTATTTCTCCCAAACCCTGTTCTGACATCCACTTGCTCAAGCCCATTAAGTATGCTTTCACTTGCCACTCTTTCTTTCTATCCGTCTTGTGAGTATCAGATTTTCCAAGCCTTCCTTCCTCATTACGTATCAAAGAAATTTCAACTGCCTCTTCCTGATGTTAATTATAAGTTTCCTCTTTTTTTTCCATTTTCAAAAAAACTCATTGTTGCTGGCATGTTCGGCCCATGGTATTTTCAGCATCCTTCTGTAGAACCATATTTCTGTTGCTTCAAGTCTCTTCTTCATCTTTGAGGAGTTTGTCCAGCATTCACTGCCATAAAGGTCGACAGATATCACGTAACAGTTCAATAATCTTTTCTTTGTTTCCAACGAAATTTTCCTGTATCTCAATACTCTGCTTAGCTTTTCGAATGCATCTTTGGCCATCACAATACATCTTCGGATCTTAGTGTCACACTTTCCGTCCACTGTTAGAACCCTTTCCAGATATTTAAATTTCTGTAACTACTTGATTTCAGTATCCCCGACCGGTATTTTGCATTTTGGGGCTCATCCTTTTGCTGATGAGCATGCATCTTGTCTCCTTCTATTTTATACTTAGTCCCTTCTTCTCGCTCTCCTTCGGTACCTTCTGTAGGAGGTTTTGGAGTTTCCTTTCCGTGTCTGCTATCAACACTGTGTCATCTACTCTACAATGTCGTTAAAAGAAAATCAGTCAGTTTAATGTTGTATTTGACGCACGCTTGGGCGATCCTGTCTCTTTTCATTCGATAGACTGGAGAGCAACCAAGGCCACTACAAGATGCACTCTCTCCTGCTATCCAAACCAGTGATTGTAATGCTGGTATTTGAACTAAATTCTCCGGTTTCTCACTCAGAGCCGCTATCCTTTAAGCCATCCGCCTATCCATTGCACCGTATACAATTTTAATATATTAGTAAATATAGGGTCATGACTTTATTCCATTAGGAATCGGATAGATATATTTTTAGTAGTAGTGCTTATAGATATATATCCATATAAATCTTAGTAGGGTCATGGGTATATATATATATATATATATATATATATATATATATATATATATATACATGGTGCGATGGATAAATTTTCATTTCAATGACACAAAAATGAAAATGACACTGACATCTCATTTTAACAGATATAGTTACCAAAATTGCACAAAAATATCTTGAAATACTAAAGATTAAATTTATTCAATAAAATCAACATTGACTTCAACCACAGCCTCCAGATGACTTCGGAATCTCCTGCATCTCTTCTGGGTGGTCTCCTTGTTTAATTTGGTGAATGCTTCCATAATCCTTGCCTTCAGTTCATCTTTGCTGTTACAAGGAGATTAGTTGGTATCTTTGTCAACTGCGTCCCACACATAATAATCAAGAGATTGCAGCCTGCGGAGTTAAATGGCCAGATGTAAGAGGTGATGTGGTTACAGAAATTGTCTGACAGCCGTGTCTGGTTTCTCCTGTTTGTGTGGCATGGTGCAGAGTCTTGTTGCCAGACATAAGATCTTCCAGTAGCCACCCTCTTGATCCAGAGCAGCAGTGCCTTCTCAAAGTACTTGATGTAGGATTCCATGTTGTTTCTGAGGCAATATGGGAAAATGAATGGAGCCATAACGTCTCCATCACTAGCGATCACTTGAAACACCATTAAACTCATCCAACTCATTTCGAATCCTTTGCCCTGTTCTCAGATTGACACCCGAAACACTCTGAAATGTTCATATGGAGCACACGGCGCGAATGCCAAGTAGTACAACATGCCGTTTCCAAATTATTGGCGGAGTGAATTGCGTCATGGTGCTCTTTTTCTTACAGACGGTGCCCAACTGAGTCTATTATACTGCGCAGTCGACAAACTCAAAAACAAAGAACGCGCATGCGCAAAATTAAAAATATAAAAGGGCGACATTTTGTTTATCGCACCCTGTAATATAAGTTCATGTTAATGGAATACCATGTTTGAGAACCACAGCCGTAAACCATAAAAGAAATATCGTATACAAAAGTATGAGTTATCTCCGCATTTTTTATTTTCTCTAAAAACAGCCGAAGAATTAATTATCGACAAAACACAAGGATGAGAAAAAAACTAGAAATCACAGAAATGTGGTTCTACAGAAGGATACTGAGAATTCCATGAACGGAGCGAGTAAGTAAGAAAGATGTCTGAAAGAAAATAGAAACAGAAAGAACTCTTCAACTCAGAATCAAGAAAAGACAGCTGAAATTCCTTTAGCCCATAATGAGGAAGCGCGTCTTGGAAAGCTCAACCCTCAGGGCAAGTTAGATAGGGAAAATAGAGAGCCACTTGTGAGCTTATGTAAATAGATAGCGGAAAGGTTAGATCGGGGGCCTTAGCAAAGGGAGAGAAACTGCTATGAATCACACGAGATAGTTGTGGGGAGTCATGATCGCTTATGTCGTGAAGGAACGCAGCTCATAGAAGAAGAAAATGGATGCAACGTGACGTTCATCTGTGAGCCAATTTCAAATTTTCGCTTACTCTGTTGTATTCACTTTCTCACAAACGCTCTTGGGAAAGACATAAAGAGTTCTCTTCCTGCTGCAATGAGATAAAATGGCAGGATATAACTAGGGTAGGTGACAACCAATACAGAAGTTGGACAACTCTTAAATCGAAACGGCTGAGAAAGCAACGGAAAGTCATTAGCGCTACAAAGAACTCATAGCAATTAACAGAAAATGAAGAACCGGAATTTGTGGAGAATCATGATCGCCTACCTCCTGGGGATGGGAACAGAACAGACAAACAAATAAAATAAAGAACAGTATCGATGTTTGAGGAATCAAAGAGCTGAGTTCGAATTACAATCGAAACCGTTGCATTCACTTACATGCTAATAGCCTTGGGAAAAGTATGAATCCTCTTCTTCTCCCACTATGGTTAAATAGCAGGACAGAGCGGATTCTAAAGCCTTGGATGGCAATTGGTCTACAACAGAAAGAAATGGCAACCTACTGCGGGAAGAAATCTGCCTCGTCAGGCATGTATCGAAAGATACATGATCGCCTAAGCGTGTATTACGCATGGCATATTACTGACTGAAGCATTCACTTACGTGCTAATACTCTTGGGAAAGGTAAGAATCCTCCTCTTCTCCCCCAGCTATGGGTAAGTAGCAAGACAGACCGGGTTCTATAGCATTGGATGTCAACTGGTCTACTGCAGAAAGAAATGGCAGCCTACTGCAGGAAAAAATCTATGGGTAAATAGCAGGACAGACCGGGTTCTATAGCCTAGGATGGCAACTGGTCTACCACGGAAAGAAATGGCAACCTACTGTGGAAAAAATCTGCCTCGTCAGTCATGTATCGAAAGAATCGTGTATCGTACATGGAACATAACTGAACAGATCGATGTTTGAAAACATTTCTTCTGTTTATTTTGGTTATTAAAAGTTTTATGGAATTAATTATTCTTTTTAACTTTTCATCTCTGTTTTCCTAGAGGATTCTTTTTATTATATTGAATTGGTGTTTTTTCTTAGAATCTCTTGGTTGCAGTAATTGCTCGGAAATAACCACTTCAAATAAGTATGGCACGAAAAACTACGTCAAAATACCGCTTTAGTGACAAGCAAATTGAAAATCAGCTGGAATTAATTACCGCTGTTGATCTGTGAAAAAAAGACCCCTCCTTTTTTTATAAGAAACAAAGTTTTTGTGACATTAAACACTCCCCCCACCAATACATTTACAAAAAAAACAACCGAAAGAAAGAAATTTGGTTTGATATTAAAACGACGCTGCGATATTGGAGTTTCTTTCATGTTCTTTTTCTTGTGTAAAAAAATATCCACGAATTTATCGTATTTGACGGCATAAAAGACAGGCTTATATTAATCACATCCCCATTTTAGCAGGGTACATTCAGGAAAATGGTCTTTTGTTTATTGAAACATGTACTGCTTAAAGCAGGCATACAGTACCTAGCAAAACAAAGGTTCTCGTAAATCGAGCCTGGTCAATACCTAGATGACTGACCACTTGAGAATACCAGGTGCTGTAAGCTTCGGTGTTCAACTGGTATGGCTTACGGCCATATCGCGTTGAAACGGCTGTTCTCGTACGATCCCCGAAGTTAAGCAACGTCGAGCCTGGTCATACCTAGATGACTGACCACTTGAGAATACCAGGTGCTGTAAGCTTCGGTGTTCAACTGGTATGGCTTACGGCCATATTGCGATGAACCGCCGGTTCTCGTACGATCTCCGAAGTTAAGCAACGTCGAGCCTGGTCAGTATCTAGATGACTGACCGCTTAGGAATACCAAGCCACTTTAAGCTTGGATGTGCGGGTGGTGTAATGGATAATGGCTCGGAATTGTTAATCTGAATTCCAAGTTTCAATTCCAGTTGGCTTCGTTATATTCCCCTACGGGCAAATACCCTTGGGAAAGGTATGGACCCACCTCTTCACCCCCACCAGCTATGGGTTAATTACTAAGAGCTGTATAACTGAAACCATTATCACCAAATATTTATAAATTTGCGTACAAAATATTTAAATCATCCATAGGGGTTGATATGCCACCAAACAAAATCAACCAAACAACCAACTCTACTCCAGTTCAAGTACGAAGGAAAGGATGTTATGGAGAGCCATGATTGTTAAGAATTTATTCTCTTATATTGGCACGTTCAACTGATGAAGAGAGGTATTGTATATGCTGGCGTACAAGGCGACTGGTCGTATAAATCGACCGCCAAATAATCACGTTATAATGTAGGTTTCGGGTTATATTCCCCGCACAAAATGACGTCCCCCACCCCAAATCGTATTTTAAAACGTATTGTATTGAACTCATTAAATAATTCCAGTAAGCATATACTTTCCTTCCACTCAAATTCTTATGATAAAACGGTGGGGGAGATATTGTCAATTAACTACCATAATCTACAAGCCCACATGAGTGGGGTCTGTGTTTTCGGTAGGCTAATTACGGCAGCCTGAATGAATTTTCCGCGCTTTCCACTTTTCTTGAATACGATCATTAAAAGGCTTCTTCAGACACATATCCAGTTGTGTTTTTGCTCAACATCATCAAAAAAATGGAGGCGAAGCGTATGTCAAAAATCTCCCATGCTCATAACTTACCATAAACCACAGGATTTAAGGTTCACATGTTGTACCTGGAATAGAAGACGATCATCTATTTTGGGAAACGTTTTTTAAGGTTAAAAGGTTGTCTTTTTTTTATGTATTTCGTTTCTAGAGCACGATAAATATTTGTCAGCTTCCTTCCACTAGAGCATCACGGCAATCAGTAGTCGCTTCTCGCTAGCACCTCATTATCCCAAGTGTCGATCTTTTATAACCAACCAAGGGTAAACCCCCCCCCCTTGGCTAAATGAGACAGTCCAAAATAACTAGGATTTTTCTAAATATACATATACATAAATTTCACTAAATAAAACATTACAATAAATAATTCACAACAGTGTTGTACTCCGACAGACACAGTAGGTCTTCTAACACGTTTCATTATTAAAGTGAGAGAATGAGCTTTCTCACTGCAAACGATATATAAGGTCGCAGCTTTATCAGGCTAGAGTTGTCGCCCTTTTTTATTTTACAGCATTTCTAATTAGGGATTCAGGGTTATTCTTCTCTTAGTATGGTTGCTAACCAAAGCTAGTGGGGACATTCTGTCTCTCTTTTTAAACCTATTGGGCGTGCAGAGGAAACGGTTTCTCCACATCCTTCCCGGGGGCATGTGATCGAAAGTGAATGCAGCAATCATAGACAGACGTTGAACTCGTCCCGCCACTCCAAATTCCTACGACGAGAGTAACGAGGGTGGAGATCGATTCGTTTTTGAAGATCGGATGATATAACCTGTACATTGAAAATTCGGTTAAATTCTACAAAGAAATAGCCAAGAATTTTATATATTCTCACGGCGTCTCGAGAAGTAACAGAAAGATTATTTTCGTATGAAGTCACTAAATTTTCAGCGCCAATCTTTTGATAATATGAAACCCAACATTATAAAAGTTTTGCCAATCGATCTTATTATTTAGATTATTTCCTAGGTGGATTTTATTTATTTATTATTATTATAACTCACATTGATTCATACGTTTTTGATATGTGGAATAAGTGGCAAAAACTGCTAATGTTTAAGGGAGGGAATAAAATCTTTCAATATTTCCAAGTAAAAAGAAGGAAAACATAATCGTCAGATATTTACCTATCTATCTATTTCAGATTGTATATATAACTATGTATCTCTGCCTATTTGTCTGTCTGTCTGTCTATCGCAGTCAGTTCGTATATATATATATATATATATATATATATGTGTGTGTGTGTGTGTGTGTGTGTGTGTGTGTGTTTTTATATAACTCAGTCAGTTCCTGTCTCTCTCTCTCTCCTCTATCTATCTATCTATACCCAGTCAGTTCTTATCTATCTATCTATCTATCTATCTATCTATCTATCTATCTATCTATCTATCTCTGTCAATTCCTTCCTTCCTTCCTTCCTTCCTTCCTATCTATCTATAAATATATATATATATATATATATAGATAGATAGATACACCTAGTGAGCCAGACAAACCTACCTAGGTTTCACCTAAACGGATCGTCAGGGTTTGTCTGGCTCACTAGGTGTATCTAGGTCTGCTCTACGGTTGTATTGAGCGCTTTTGTTAGTTAGTTGTTTACTCGTATCGGGGTTTTTTCTTTGGGCTTCAGACCTGCATCTGTGCGATTTTTTGTCGACAGAACTTCATGTTTGTAGCTCTTTCTTTTTTTAAAACCTTTTTTTCCCTCACGATTGATTTGATTATTAGCAAATCAAAACTTCGAGGGTTTTTCGAAACGAGTTTAGTTATATCTATCTATCTATCTATCTATCTATCTATCTATCTATATATATATATATATATATATATATATATATATATATGTATGTATGTATGTATATGTATACATGTGTGTGTATATATATCTCAGTCAGTTCCTATCTATCTATCTATCTATCTATCTATCTATCTATCTATCTATGTCAATTCCTTCCTTCCTTTCTTCCTTCCTTCCCTTCCTTCCTTCCTATCTATCTATCTATCTATATATATATATATATATATATATATATATATATATATATATATATATATGACTGTACTATATGCAGCAGATAAGGTGTTCGAACATGTCGTTATGTGTTTGATTACCTAACTTTTTTAACGCGGACATTTTCAAAATCCCAATGCGCATCAAATTTAAAATAAAATACATTAATACTAATGCCTGGAAGAACATTTTTCAAACGGAAGCGACACTAGTCAAAAATATTACTTAATGCGTGATTTCGTCAGCTTCCAGATTTAAGTGAATGCTTTTGCTCGACAATATTTTGAATAAAACTTATATCTCATTTAATGTTAAATGTATTGAACTAACGAGACTATTCAGTGAAAATGTACAAGCCACTGCAGTTGTTTTATGGTTTCCATCAATAAAAAAACTTTTACGTCTGTTATTTAATGACAAGCTATCGTTAGCAAAGGATGTGCTGGTAGTGAAACGGATATCGACTCTGGAATTGGCACGCCGAGGTCAAATTCCCGCCTTTTCTGTTGCGTTCACTTTCGCTCAGATTTGTATAGACACTAATTAATTTCTTCTTCTCACCAAACCGATGAGATTTAAATGCCTAGCCTTGGATGCTAACCAGTCTATAAGAAGGAAAATTATCCAGATCGTGAAAAAGGGCAGTGTAATGAACAGTCTAATCAGTTGCTTTCCTGTTTGAATTAAATTAGGAAAAGCGTGCATTTGTCTCTTCGTCCCCCAGCTATGGGTTAAATAATAGGGTAGACTGAGTATTCTATACTTGGGTCGCAAACAGTCTAAAGCAAGGAGAAACAACGGGAAACTATTTCACTATCTTTCCGGAGATGCATGATAGTTTTAATTTAAAAAAAAAAAAGTGATCTATGGAGAGCCATGATGGCCTATATTATGAAGAGACGTGAAAAGCTGACGATGTGAATCCGATCTATGGCTTAAATAGTAGTGTAGACTTGGTAATCTAACCTTGTGTGACAACCAACCTAAGAGAAAGAAAACTTTGAATTCCAAATCGTGGGAAAATCAAGACGAACTCAATCCACTGTTTTTCCTGCTATTTGGGATTTGAAAATGTATGTGGCTTTTTACTGTATTTTGGGGGGTATAATACAACTTAAGTATAATAAAATCCTGTGTTTCTGAGGCTAAAACACGGAATAAATGACATCCTTCAGTAAAATATGACTCCTTAGTACAGCCATCCATCTCCAATTTTTGTTTTGTAATGTTGTACCATATTTAAATAAAAAAAAATCAATGTCGTAGATATATTTCATAAACTTATTTATTTTTCACGATATTAAAGAATGAATAGAAACGAACCGGATGTTTAGTCATTGTGTGTTTCTTCTCCTAATTTCCGGTCCAAAACTTATTTTCGAATTGTCGGGAAAAGGTGCTAACAAGACATACTTAGTTGTACATTTTAAGGTGTTAATTAATCTATCATGTTTTTATATATGAATAAACTAGGAAAAAATATTGTCCTTCATAATGGAGAGAGAAAACTGTATAAAACAGCCCAAAAAGTAAACCTATAAACAAACTTTATCTTCTGACAAAACTGTCCTAATTTTAAACATATTTTTTCATGAATAATCAAAAGTGGTCTCCCCTTGTTTCGTTACTCTCCTCTTTGAGAGAGCTTACTGGAGCTATAAAAGGACACTATACGCTAACCTTGTATTCTCAGTTGAATAAAGCTTCCTTAAAGTCTATACCCGCGTACTGTTGTCATTACACATATGTCAACAAACGGAGGACAATGAAATAACAACCCCACAGCATGAAAATTAACGCCGCCATTTTCCAAACGGGAAAAAAATTAATAAAAGTACATAATTCATGTAATATTTAGGCCTTTGTTGTAAGATTAATGTCATCAAAAGGTGACAGATCTTTTTAATCCCGTTTGCCATCAATTGTGAATGTAATCTCATTGTTTGTTGTTTTTTTTTCTTATCCTAATGAAGAGGAAGTACGGGGTAACTTCAATATGACGGGTGCAAAAAGAACCGGCAAGCCATGGCACTATTCTGTCTTGAATGTCACCACTATACACAATTGTAAGATGGAGGGAAGCGGAGATCACAGCGGCTTAAATTGCGCTCAGCGAATAAAATGAATGAATATCCCTTCAGGATCTAAGTGATCATGGCTTTCCATAGATTCCTTTGAAAGTAACACACTTTGTATCTCAACGCTTCTGTGACAATTACATTTATATTATTAAAACATAAACGTATAATTTTTTTTTTGTTCTTGTTTAAATACCGTGTCTTTATCATCTACGAATTGTCATGACTTCTTTGAAATAAGTCGTTTCACGTTGCCTGGTCTATAGCTTGAGACTGACTGCTAACCAAGCTAAAAAAAAATCAGTTTCCTCTACTATGTCACATATAGTTGTCTTCCCTTTTTTTTCCTTCGATATGTCCTGTCAGCGTCAATTTCTCCAAGCCTTCTTTCTTCATCTCGTGTTCAAGGAATTTCAATTGTTTCTTTCTCATTCTTAGTATAAGTGTCCATTTTGTTTCTATTTTCTTTAAGATGCCTTACGCGCACCGTCCATGGCATTCTCCGGGTGATTTTCGACCAAACATTTACGGCAACGTTGCAGCTGCTGGAAGTATAAATGTGCATTTAGTGTTTTATTAACTTTGAAAAAGTCGACGATTCAACCCCACCTACAGAATAACTTTTCTTCCATGAAGCTCAGGTTTTGGGGTCAGATGTAGAGATTTTATTTGCTAATGTTCACCCAATACAAGGCCCAAGAGCCACTCATTATAGAGGATTACTTAGTGCAGGAAATGACTATAGAGCAGAAGCAGATCGTAGAAGGAACAGAAAACACAATCCTAAACAGGAAACAAGAGATAAACTTCTACTCCTGCTCAAAAAACAGGAAAGGAGTGTGAACCGGACGATAGGCGAACCTATCTACTCCTGTTGGTGAAGAAACGAAAAAACATATTTTGTATCGACAAGCTCGGGGTGGTTTTCAACCGCCCTTTTATGGACACGTTGCAGCTGCTGGAAGTATAAATGTGCATTTACTGTTTCATTGCCTTTTTTAGAATTACAAATGAATAACACCCTAAAGATCCCACGACATGCACAAAATTACCTTTTTTTTATAAAGTTTAACTTTTAGATGCCAATTGTGGAGTTTTACCGTTTCCAATACGTTTGGGTTGAACATTGTCCTGTGTACTCCAAATTTCTTCTTAACTGCCAAGTATGATTAGTGGTTAGGCTTAGGGTTGTATATTCATCATTTCAGTTGGTTTCCCAAAACGGATATTATTTATAGCTTAACCTAATAAAATTCTTATATAAGAGCACTTATACTAAGAATGAGAAAGAAACAATCAAAGAAAAAACTATGAGTTTTAGCTATGTAAAACGTATGGAATATTAGTTGTTTTTCTTTACAAAAATTATCAGTGTACAATGCCATGATGCCATTTCTGACCTTAGGTCTCTGGTTGGTACCCAGAAGGAAATTTGTATACAACAGAATTCAAAGGGAATAATAATAATAATAATAATAATAATAATAATAATAATAATAATCACAAAATCGAAACCACTGAGAGATGGTATGACCACCAACCAGACACAATTACCCAAAATAACGATATAACTATCTTCTGGGACATGTCAATTTAAACTGACAGGGAAATAAAAGCCAATAGACCTGATATTATCATAAAAGACAAGAAATTCAGGAAGTTTATGCTTATTGACATAACAGTACCATCTGAGAGAAAACAGATCCATAAAGATTATAGAGAAATTGTTCAAATACAAGGACCTGGAGATCGAGGTTTACAGGATGTGAGGAATGAACACTGAGACTGTCGTACCAATAGTAATCGGAGCTCTGGGCTTCGTGAGAAAAGGAATGGGCAATTTTACTAACAGTGTCCCAGGTAACATCAACATATAAGTTTCCCAGAAGATCGTCCTACTAGGAATATCCTCTATACTAAGAAAAGTGATATCAATTAAATGACAATTCTCCGATAGGACCTAAGGACCCGGCTCTACAGGATACAAAGCAGGAAACATAATATGCACAAATAATAATAATAATAAAAATAATAATAATAATGAAGCATTATTCCTGTGGCATTGCTTTTAACTGATTGAATGTTTTCCCATGAACATGATTTGTCTTACTGATTAACATGTGCTAGTCTTTTCTGTACCGCCGATTTGCTTCCCAGTTGCCTGTCTGTAACCAGCTGGGTACATCCAGCGTACCATGAAAATATGATGACTGGATTTTGGGTGTTTCTGTTTTTAAGTTTGAAGCATGTGTTTGGCAAAACGATTTGGGAGTCTCATCTAGAAATATTAACATCTATGACGAAATCTAAATATTTTAGAGTAATGTCTTCATCTACAGATAAAACTTACTGTTTGTTATTCTATTAGAAAATGTATTGCTGGTCATTTTCTTTTAAAAATCTATGGTTGGTAATTTTACTATAAATATGTATTTTTAGTAACTTTATATAAAAAGGTACTGCTGATATTTTTTTTCTATAAAAAATGTGTTTTTATACTTCCATAGTGTTTTGCTTTTGTTTGGGTTTTCAATATTTTTGCATAGCTGGGACCCTAACAGGTGCTACTACCCCGGGTCAGGGTAGACTTTGGAACAGCATTGAAGTAGTGGTTGCACGCTCCTGAAAACCTCCGATCTCTCGATCAGAGACCTTGCTGCCGGATGCAGTTTATCGTCGTACATAGGATTCAATACGCTACGTGTCTGGTTTTGGTTTAGCAGTCTGTTGCCCGAACAAAGAAATTTCCCCGTAGTTATACCCTTTGTTATTATACTCCTGAATAGAACTGCACCTAGTGAAAGTGCTACTAGATTAGCCACTAAGTGTCATCGATTTACTGTTGAAATAACTAGAGGTTGCTGTAAGTTCTATACTAATAGTTACTTATCTCGATTTTTTGCTTCTTTGACATCTAAAAGCTTCTTTAAATGAAACGTCAATCACTGTCTCTCAGGACTCTTTTATTGTCCTTTCTTCTCACTAACGTTTTCTCATTCTCTTTCACTCTCAGTAACCCCTGGGGCGTAGTGGCATTATCGCCTTACTTGTGGGTGAAATGATTTAAAAAATGGCGAAGTTTAACTTAGGAGCAGATAAATAAAACTGTTTTTGAAAAGATGGATTTTCTCTTGAAGCCAATAGACTTCCTCGGTGATATTTATTCTTTTACAAAACTATTTTTGCAATTTTAATAAATCTTTGATATATGAAATTAAATTTATACATTTATTTCTCGAGAATTGGCAGTGATGTATTTAACTAATTGTTTTTATTTTGCAAGATTATTAATTCATAATCAATCATAACTACATCTAAAATAGTTTTGTTTAGAAGACAATACCGCACGTTAATTTTGCTGTTTTGAAGTTATTTTTTTATAATTCTAATAAAACCATGTCATATGGAAATAAGTTTATCAATTTTTGCTTGTAATTAACCATAACTATTTTAGATTATTTCGTGTTTCTATTTTCCAAAGAGGAAATTGAATTGCGATGCGGTTTCATATGTTATTGTTTTAGAATAATTCTAATTGTTTTATATTGTTTTATGCAGTTTCAAGAGAAAAACTTCCTTTTAAAACTTCCATTGTGGGGACAGTAGTTCAGCGTGTCGAATTTTAAAGTGGGTTTTAAAGCAATAATGTTGCCCTTCCTCTTTTGGAGAGGCCTCAAACACCGAGCAATATACCCAGTCCTCTCCCAAACGAGAGGCAATGCCTGGGGGATGAGAGAATATTATAGGCAAAGGAGCGAATCCCTCTCTGGGTCATCAAACGATACTCGCACACCGAGCGATATTTAGCTACCCCCCCACGAGGGTTACATATGGCACAAAGCCGGGTTTAACGTGGGATTTCCGAGCCCGTAGGCTCGGCCAAAAATATTCCCTCTTTGAACCCGTATAAACGGGTTCAGGGGCAGTCAACCACCCCGAACGAGACTCTGCCCTTCGGCGGAGCCTCGTCCGGGTTCCTCTCCACCCGAGAGCAGAGAGTTAGACTGTTACTTAGCCCGGAGCCAAGTTGCTCGCACACCGTGTGCTACTCTGTCCATATAGCTAGGGTATTTATATAGTCTATGCCTGACATATGTTAAGTAGACAATCATTTACATATGACTACACTAAGAGTAATCTTGTGTCAATTAAAATTTAAGCAGAGTTTAACAAAGGCCAGGCCAAAAAAAAAGTGCGCAGTGTCGAATGAGAAAGTGTCTAATTCCCCCAGGAATTACTTCTCGTTCAGGAGGCGGTTTGTTGTTCGATCCTGAGGAATCCTCAAAAGGTTACATTTCCAAAGGGATTTGAGCAATTTATTCATGGTATTGCCGTTAAACCCATTCGATAGCGACGTGGACGCGGTGAAAAATACCTTGGTAAGCGAATATGGTTACCTGGCCGGCTGAGAGGTTCGCTCCTCTGATAATATTCGCTTAGGTCCCAGGTGAACATCCCTACAGAAATCATCTCTCCTTCAAAATTGGGAAGTGCTGATGGGGCTTGATCATTTTTTTCTCCGGTATTGCCGTTAAACCCACTTTAAACTGACCATGTGTCATATTCTGTAGTGACGTGGGCGCACTGAAAAATCAAGCTCTCGTTATGCGAGATAAACAACAACCGTTGGACAGCTAAAACGTGCAAAGAAATCACACTTCATAACAATTAGATTTTTATAAAACCATAATCGTACCAGATTTTCTTGCGTCCTGGGCAAGACAATAAACCACATCCGACAGCAAGGCCTCTTATCAGGAGGGTTTGAAAAGCGTGGAACGACCTCTAGAATTGCTGGCGTTCCCACGTCCACCCTGACTCGGGGTGGTAGCAACTGTTACGGTCCTAGCTATGGGCAAACAGTTAAACTCCAAAATGGCGGCAGACCGCTATGAAAGTGTAAAAATGGGTTTTAATACCAGCAAAACATTTTTGGAAAAAATATTACCAGTAATACATTTTGGAAAAAAATATTACCAGTAATACATTTTTGAAAAAAATATCACCAGTAATACATTTAAAAAAAATATTACCAGTAATACATTTTTTGAAAAAAATATCACCAGTAATACATTTAAAAAAAAATATTACCAGTAATACATTTTTTGAAAAAAATGTCACCATACGTTCCTGATTATTTTAATATCCTTCTAAATATGTCAAGGTTGCTCAGTAGTTCCGACAGATCTTTGTGGCTCTGTTTATTGACGCTTTTGCAAATTAAAAATTGGTGATGCCAAAATCAAATATCTAGGAATTGTCTTAACTAAGGCGAGAAGTGTGACAATGAAATCTAAATGTCCATTGGGATAGCCAACGATGCGTTAGAAACAAAGAAAAGTGTACTGAATTGTTACGTGATATCTGTCCTCCCATATGGCAGTGAATGTTGGACAACATCCCCGCAGATGAAGAAGAGAGTTGAAGCAACAAAAATATAGTTCTACCTGAGGATACTGAGGATACCATGGACCGAACATATGAACAAAAATGAGGTTTTAGAGAAAACAGAACCAAAAATGAAACTTATACTTAACATCAGGAAGAGACAATGGAATTATCTAGAGCACATGATGAGGAAAGAATACTTAGCAATTATGATACTCACAGGACAGTTTTGAAGGCAAGAGGAACAGAGGAGAGAAAAGCATAACGTACTTAGTGAACTTGAGTAAATGGTTAGCGAAAAAGTGCTTAGGAGAAATAAGGAAGAGTGACAGAACGAATTTCAACTCCTAATTAATTATAAACTCAGAACTAATTTCAACTCGATAGTAAAATCAAATTTATCAATTACTGTGAATTGCTAAGCAAAATGCAATGAGTTGGTGTTAAATTTTTTTTTAATTTAACATTAAAAATCCTTTGTAAATAAGATAATACAAAAGTCATCTTTTCTGCAATTTTCATTCTTTTTTGCTGCAAATGAATAAAGTTGTACAATTTTATTTTATTTTATTCATTTAAATCTGATCCAATAAAAATGCAATGTTCTTTGCAGCAAGAACAGCAGATTGCTTCGCTGAAGTTTTGGAAAAAACCCTCGTTCAAAAGTTCCAAGTTGAAATTAATTCTGTACCCCATAATGAAAAGACAAAATTTATTAAGTGCTGCAAAGGATGGGAAACTCTGGAGGGCCATAATCGCAAATTTCATTAGGGACACGGCACATAGAGAGAAATAATACTTCTCTTTATTTTATTTTTTCGAATAATAGCTGATTTTAATTTTTTCGCATTAATCAGTTAATAATAATCTGTTAGGAAGTCATAAGTAAAAGTAAATGTCTTCAAATTCTATCAGAAAATATAACTCCGATATATTCTGGCAGGTGATATTTTCAATTCTTTACAGAGTGTTTTGTAGTTTAAGAATTAACTGTTATTGAATTTTACATTCAATCTTTTATTTTGCATCCCTTACTCTGTCAATCCCCCCCACCACAAAAAAAATCTCTTTGCGTTCGTTGTCTGTGTTAAAAGCACTCGTTAACTTTTCCTCGGAATTGATTCTATAATGTCAACCTTGGCACAATATATGAATGATTTACAGATACTAATAAAAAAAAAAAATAAACAGACAACTGTCTTGTGTACAGGTTGGAAGTTGCTGGAAATACACAAAAATAAACAGACATGCACACATACACATTCACATCGACACACACATATATATATATATATAAATATATATGTATATATATATATAAATAAATAAATATATATATATATATATATATATATATATAAAAAGGAACGCACGCATATTCACATATCCAGAAAACCGTATATAAGTGTATGTCTTTGTATGTTTTGCGAAGTCAGAGATTTCTAGGAATAATGCAGACGTGTTTACACATATATACCTTCCCGCACTTCTAGACAAAAACCGACTAAATGCATACAGCCGAATACATGCGAATAAAACATTCACACGTAGGAATATATATATATATATATATATATATATATATATATATATATATATATATATATATATATATATATATATATATATATATATATATATAGATAGATAGATAGATAGATAGATAGATAGATAGATAGATAGATAGATAGATAGATAGATAGATAGATAGATGTGTGTGTGTATGTGTTGGTTGTGTGTGCGTGTGTGCATAGCTTACACATAGTCAGCCAGAACTAATTCAAAAACGTTATGTTCAGTTTGAGTGACAAGATTCGAGTGTCATTTTTTATTACATTTTCCTAGTCGGCATAGAATAAACACACCTTGTCAGTCAAATTTAACAAAAATGTTTGAACACACACACACACACACACACACACACACACACACACACACACAAGATAGATAGATAGATAGATAGATAGATAGATAGATAGATAGATAGATAGATAGAGAGACAGACAGACAGATATTTAAAAGAGTAATGGGTTTTTCTTTATTAATTCGATATAGTTACCTATTTATATCTATGTATCTTATTCTATTTATATCTATCTATCTTAGTCCATTCGTATGTATGTATGTATGTATGTATGTATGTATGTATCTATCTATCTATCTATCTATCTATCTATCTATCTATCTATCTATCTATCTATTTCGGAATGTTCTTATCTACAAATCCCAGTCTATTCATATCTATGTATCTCATTCTATTTATATCTATCTATTTTCTCGGTCTGTTCATATCTATCTATCTATCTATCTATCTATCTATCTATCTATCTATCTATCTATCTATCTATCTGTCTGTGTGTATGTGTGTTTAAACGTTACTTTTAGTGGAAATCCATAATTGAGTAGACTCTCTGTTTATTTTTTTAAAGCTATATAATTATTTTTGCTTATCGGACAGAATATTCAAAAATCTCATGAAAGAAAAATGCAGATACAAAACTGAGCAAATCAGGACAAGACGGATGGGCTTAAAAGTCAATATTCGCCCTTTACTTGATCGACCACGCCCTTTGTGGCACAAGGGTGCTATTTTTTCTTTAATAAGATTTCTCGAATATTCAGGACAGTAAAATAGACAGGGCGTCTACTAAAATATGGGTATCCATTTAAAATAACTTTTAAATTTTTAAAAATATATCGTATTAATAAATAAAATATCCATTACTCATTCATATATATATATATATATATATATATATATATATATATATATATATATATATATAGTTTGTCTGACGATCGCTAATGCGTGAAACCCAGGGTCACAAACTCACATCTATCCAATCAAATATGTTAGCTCTATCTCTGATATTGAGCGCTTTCTAATAAGTTCCGCGCATATAATATATAAATAATTATACATATATATATTTATTTATATTTATATACACTTTTCACACATATATATATATATATTACTTACACTTACTTACTTACACTTTCTCTAAATTCTGTTTTGATTTCCGGAGTTGTTTTTTTCTGTTTTCATTTTGAATTTGTAGGTCTGATGATTTGGATCGTATTTACGATTCCAATGGAATAAATTATGACAATGGAATATTAGTGTTTAAGCCTTTTTATATATATATATATATATATATATATATATATATATATATATATATATATATATGCACGTCATTAGGTTACGAATTTATTGATTTATTTACAGAGATATTAAATGTAGCTTGATAGAAAGAGGAGAGGGAGATTTTGCCATTGAATCTCGTAAAAGTCAAATGAATTAATAATAATATGCAAAAAAATTACTGAAATTTACTCGTGAGAATAACAGCTTGCATTTTTGAATTGTTTAAACTGCTCAGCATTATGCAACTGTTTCACTGGTAGCAATCATGGGACTGACGATTTGTCACTCGGTAAACATGAAGTCGATTATTGTGTTGATCAGAGAATGGCAGAGAGCAGAGAAAGAATTTAAAAAAGAAGAAGATTGAACGAACATCCGAAACACGAATTGTATGCCCATTGTCACGAATTCTGCATGTACGATTCAATATTTTCTTTCCCTTCAATAAAAGACATTTAGTCTCTAATGAATACGCCAGATCATTCACATCGAGGATGGAATTGTCTCGAAACAAGTTTTACCTTTACCACGTTTTGCATTTTAAAAGGCGTTTATAATCTCATCTTATTCTCAGCACACTTCCTCTTTTCCCCCCGCTCGGACTACATTTCCTGGTCCAGGCGAGTCAAACCTTCATGGCAAAAACACTCCATGCCACTTACATAGTAGCAAACCACCCACATTTCCCCCGTATTCCATCGGTGAGATCATCAATAAGAGAATGAGCCCAAAATGCGATTCGCAGGTCGGGAACACTAGAATCAAACAGACGCAGAAGTTTAAATATCTGGGAAGCGTTTTGACAGAGGATGGTAAGTGTGACACTGAGATCCGTAGACGTATTGAGATGGCCAAGGACGCATTCCAGACCTGGGCACAGTATTGCTAGACAGGAGGATTTCTTTGATAACAAAGTAAAGAATACTGAGCTGATACGTGACATCTGTCCTTCTTTATGGCAGCGAATGTTGGACGATATCCTCAAAGATGATGAAGAGGCGATAGAGATGTGGTTCTACAGAAGGATGCTAAAGAGTATCATGGACCGAGTGTGTGAGCAACGATTAGTTTTTTAGAGAGGTTGCAAACAAGAACAAAGCTTATACTTAACACCAGGAAGAGGCAACTGAAGTTTCTGGGACACATAATGTAAAAGGAGGGCTTGGAGAATCTGATACTCACGGGTCGAATAGAGCGAGAGAGACAAGAGAAAACAACGAGTGACATACTTGGCGGGTTTAAGCAAGTGGATGACAGAACGTGGTCTTGGGAAGGAAGCAGAGGGAAGGAACTTGTTGAGAGCTACAAGGGATAGGGAAAAGTGGAGAGCCATGATCGCCTATGTCCTGAAAGGACAAGGCATATGAAAAGAAAAGAGAAGTTCCACGAGCAGTTTCTTCTAATGTACCACTGCTCCAACAGGATGTTTTCTCGATCACTACAATCAAGGCTATCGCTTATTTTCCACTCCTCTAAGCACAGGTAGTCTCCTAAGGTAACTTTCTACTTCCAGTGGCCCCCGGGCCTTGTAAAGGGTAAACCTTAAAAAAATGAACCCTGAATCAAACTGTAGTTTTGTTATTCAGGGTTATTTCTCCAAAAACTCTGTACATACTTCCACTATTCCACTATTTTACTTATTCAATAACACAATAAAGCTTTGAACCACTTTTCGTTGTTTTATTTGCTTTAAAAGAGAAACAGAAAAATCCAACACCATCGCCTCCGCTATAGAAGTTAGTAACGTCTACGTGTTTCCATCACACGCCAATCTATGGACATTTTTTAATTTTCTCCTTTTTTTAATGATTTTTTTCCGATTTTCGACTTGAGAGAGAAAGTCATTTGGTAACAACCATTTTTTTTTCATTTCTTTTTGTTCAAGTTGCGTTTAGTTCTTTTTTGTGTGTGTTATTGTTTTTGCTAACAATGAGTTGTATCGATCGATTTGTAGTTTGATGAACTGTTCAGCCTCTGACCGTGAAATCAACTCGACTCGTCTACTGTTTACCAGGGGAAGTGAGTCGTGTGCAACGTCACAATTCTCACCTTAGTATCTCCCTCTTTACTCTCTCCATTTTTTTTTCTCTCTACTTTCTCTTTCTCGCGCGCATGCGCTCTCACTACCCTGTCGTCTTCCATAATCGTGTCATTTTTTCCCTCTCTCCGTTTATTCCCGTTTGTCTTCTCTTGTCTCTTCGTTTCTTTCAACACTTTCCCAATTTTTATTGCTTGCCTATTTTTCTTTCGTCTTTCTCAATTTTCCCTTCAATTATTCTTCGAACTGATGTGCTTTACACTCATTGATATGATTACACTGCAGTTTCTGTCGCTTGGGTTTTGTTTGTAAATATTCCTACATTTTTTTCAAAGTCCCTTTATTACGATTTTTCATCTTATTCTTCCTTTTCCACCTCTGTTTATATATATTATATATATATATATATATATATATATATATATATATATATATATATATATACCCAGGTGTAATGAGAAGGAGAATTCACAGCATTAATTCAAAAACGGGCTCAATACCAAGAATAGAGGAATATTATTTATTATAGATTTTACATATGCTCAAAAACAATTGCTTTTTCCACATCTAAAAAAATATATATATATATATATATATATATATATATATATATATATATTATCATAAAGAAAAAGAGCAGTAAGATATATAATCCGGTGTTCATATTAATATTTTTTATTTTCACAAAACAGTGCTCAATGCAAATCTACAGAGCATAAATATTTACTTATTTAAAAATATGGTTCCATCGCTACACAAGAAATAACATGTTTCAAAAACAGAAACTGAAACGAATTAGATTAAAGTCCCTAGTTCTGTTTCATTTCCAATATTCGCTTGAAAATGAAACAGAACTAGGGTCTTTAATTTAATTTAATTCTATAATTGAATTTGAAATTTGAAGCATTAATATTCCTGTGTAGCGATGGAACCATATTTTTAAATAAGTAAATTTATATATATATATATATATATATATATATATATATATATATATATATATATATATATAACACACACACACACACACACACACACACACACACATATATATATATATGTTTATGATACTTGATAAATATGTATTGAGACTGTTGCTATGGTGACGAAGTTAAAATACGAAGGGTGGGGCTGCTTGGCACATATTGACATTGAACTCTTTAAATATAACGTTCACTCTCACTTCCGTTGTTTATAGTATTGCTTGGAAGGAAAATGTGTAGAGTGTGGTCATCTCATCACAGAATTTCCATCTGTGACCATGACTTGTGAAACATTTTCGGCTAAGAACAACATTCCCCAGGTCCGGCAACTACCATATTCCCCAGATTCCGCCCCTTTCCGCGACTTTTTCCCTCTTTCCAAAAATGAAATCCCATTTGAAAGGATCAATATTTCCAGGCGTCGGGGAAATCCAAGAGAATGAGGCAAGGCAGCTTTTCGCTGTCCCTCACCCCCAAAAGACAGATCCAGGAATGGATCAATAAAAAATGTGTTTGATAAAATGTGTTGCTTCAGAGAAGACTACTTTGAAGGAGATTAAATACCGAAATGCTATGTAGAGAAAAAGTCATTTGGTAATGTTTTTATTGCACTTGCCACGATACCTTTTGATCAGACCTCGAAGGATATATGATAGAATAATGAAAGATGAGGAGACAAGTGACACTTCTGTTGGTACAACCTACAGAACTCTCACGTAAGAAACATAAATAAAACAGACAATAACATTCATTTAAAAAAAATCACCTTAATACGTCAAGAACGTGCTTTATTTTTTCGTAGAAAATATTTACAAGGAATATTAATAAATATCTTCCCATCGATATACACACTGCAGACAAGCTTTTTGATATCACTAACATTCATAAAATCAATATCGGTAACTTGTTCAGCTCAGGGGATTCCAGCCCTGCGTAATCACCTTCCTCGTTGCAGTAAGATAGGAGATTTCGGTATAATTTCAATGTCATACTGACAGTGGTCGCGGGGATTGAGCAAAACAATTTTTTGTCCTTGGCCCATATGTATACGTATGTGCATGGCGCTTCCGACGTTAAAACGACCTTTTGTCACATCCTTCCTTATTGGAGAAAGGCCGGGAAAAATTTATACTTAATAAATGTAAGATCCAGACATCTGCGAACAATGTAACTAAAGTCTGTGTGCGCGCGTTTATGTATTAATAGTAGAAAATTAATTTTATTAGAGAAAAGACACAACCTTGTTCGAAAATTCTAATTTTTAACATCGTTCTCATCATGGATTTATTTTGTCTAATTGCTTAATAGTATACAATTGCTATTATTTTTGAAAATTATTTTTGACCTGCCTATGTTTTAAAATCGTATACGGGGTCATAATCAGTGACCTCGGCTAAGGGAAGGATGCGATTATATGTTGTCTTTACGTAATTAACAAAATCTTCTTCTTGTAAGGATAAAGCATAGTTGAAAAAAATTAACGACTTTCTGGAGCGACAGAATGAACTGTCAGGATCGAATACTAATACAAGATTTGGATTTTAATAACAGTATTTTTATTTGTAAAAAGATTGTCAGAATTTTTAACATCCCCCATTTGGACTTTTCTGGAATTATCTACCTTTTGTTGTAGTATGCCGAGTGTAACAGTAAAATTGTCCAAATCGTGTAACAGCAAAACTGTCTAAATCGTGTAACAGCAAAACTGTCTAAATCGTGTAACAGCAAAACTGTCCAAATCGTGTAACAGCAAAATTGTCCAATTGTTATATTAAGATTTGAACCATTGTGTCTTAGAAAGTATTAAAGATATCTTACAGGAATTCTCTCAGGTTGTTATAACACTATTGAACTCTACTTTGAACAATAAGAATTTATTTATCTTTAAGTTGAAATGATGATTCATGTTCCTGTTCCTGATACAGTTTTCCTCTTTACTGTTTCCTCTTTTTTTAATTTATTCCCAGATTGCAGGTACTATTTCATTTTCAAGTCCTTTTCAATGCTCTTTGGACTTTCATAGCTGAAACTCCTCTCTCGTATGCCAGACATCTTATAGATTGTTGTATCTTTTTTGATTGATCTCTTTAGCTCTAAATTGAAATGATGATCCTTCTCCCTAATGTGACCTCCTGATCCAGCTTTCCATTTTTTTTTAAAATTATTCACCGTTCTCTTGATCCTTCTTGAATGAACTTTGAAGATGGAAGCCTGAGTATGAATGTCCGTACCATTACTGAAGGCCCGAATGATCTTTTTCCTCTCACCATTGCCCAGTTGTGAAGACAGTGGGGCTGATACAAGATTTTAACCTGTTCTCTTTCTAACTGAATAACTCAAGGGGTTTTTCAGTGATTCTTACACCAAATGGAATCAAGATGGCCAAAGGTCTTATCTGAAAACCCGGAAAAAAGAAACTTAATTAGTTTCGTGGTTATTTAGGTATTAAATATTTTGTGGGGTGGACAATTATTCCATGCTGTTAAACGATTTGGACAAGTTTGCTGTTACATGATTTGGACAAGTTTGCTGTTACACGATTTGGACAAGTTTGCTGTTACACCTGTATATATACATATCCTCCTTTACTTGTATTCTAGGTTCTTTATTTGCTCTTAGCCCCTTCATGGACTACTCTCTTTATTAACATGTTGCCTGTCCAGGGCATTTTCGCCTGTACAATACAAACGTTCTTGCTGTTTTTCAGGTTTATAACTATTGCAAGGCAACTGAGGTTGTTTGGCAAATAAAATGTTCTGATATATAATGTTTCACATAATAAAACTCTGTGCATCACAGGTAAAAATCATAAAGTATTTACACTACGCTCTGTGCATCCAATATGATGCAAAAGTTATAATCATTTCAATAAAGTGTGAAAATAAATCTTTCATTATCCGTCAAGCGTCCTGTGAATATATATGATGCACAAAATATTAGATTCGATCTTCTCTCAATTGTAGACTCTTTTCTTAAGTGTCCTTAGGTTTGGTTTGGTTTACGGCTTATCAACCTCAATAGGTTATTTAATGCCGTCAAGATGTTTATTGTTGGTATTTTTTTTAAATGTATTGCTGGTAATAATTATTTCCAAAATTTTGTTACTGGTATTAAACCTATTTTTAGACTTTCATAGTGATTTGAGACCAGTTTGGGGGTTAATTATTTGCCCATAGCTAGGACCCTAACAGCTGCTACCATCCCGGGTGGCTCTGGGAACAACAGCAATTAAGAGATGGTTCCACGCTCCTCAAAAGCTCTTGATCAGTGGCCCTGCTGCCGGACGCAGTTTATCGTCATACCCAGGACGGTCCTTAGTTTTAACATTCTTTTAAAATTATGACTCGTGTGCAACACATGCTGCACATATGTGGATATCCCCTGTCCTGTGCATTTCATATGATGCACAGGACTGCACAAGGGTTCAAGATTTCCTCAAGGTACGTTTTTAGGTTTGTTACTTATTACAAAGATCATTTCTTTTATGGCCAAGATTTTGCTTTTATCGATGGCAAAAATAGCTGAAAAATAAAGATTGTCCTTTTGATTAATTAACATAATAGCATTAAAAATACTGCTAGCAAGTATCACTTTCATACATTTGACGAAGAGCAGAGATACCTTTTAGGATGTGTAAAATACCACAACTTATTTCGTTAGAAGTGTCCAACAATCCGCCAGCCGATATTGAAATGTAAAATTATACATTTAACATCGCCGACATTTTGGCACCAAAAGAATTAATATTCTTCTATCTCCTAAAGAATTCTCAATGTTAGCATTTTTAATTCCTAAGTTGCTTTTCTCAAATAAACAGAGAATCGAAAAGAACATATGCGACGTATTTTTAGAGTATAAGTTTTCTTTTTTTAATTCTACTTTATCCCAACAAAATTAGTAATTTTGAGATTCACTGAGGGTTTTTAACGATACCAATCTGATTGACGCTGTTTTTATGGCTTTCATAATGGAAAAGATTTTTTTTTTAAATTTACAATTTTATAAATTTTTCTTAAAAGTCTACTTTGGCATGCACTTTTATGTTTTTCTTGGTGGCAGAGATAATACAATAAAGAGTGCAAAAAGGAAATCAAGTGAGAGATATGAGAATATGTAGGCAGGAATGAGAGACAAAATATATGGTTGTTAGCAAAAGGAGTCGCCTAAAATACGAATTACAAATTGGAGACGGCAAAATCAACTAAATACACACATTTAAATATCTAGAAACTGTTTTCATACACTAACGGAAAAAAGAATCATCAAAATCCGAAAGCCATTGCAAT